TGCTACTATAAGGAATTTCAGTGTCATGTCAAGGAAAGCAACCTCTGACTTCAATTTGTGCAGTAGATCTGACATAACCTGTCTAGCATTTTAAATGGGCAATTGTAATCAGTTTTGGTGTCGTTCAGCAAATCAATAAAAGTTTGCTTTAATGAAGTTTAAATGTCCAACAGGAATAAATGTTCTTGCTGTCACTGAGGAGATGGATTTGTCTGCCTGCCCTAAATCTTACCTTTCATATTTACCCACGGTACACTTACAAAAAAAAAGTATTTCCTTTATGATACTTCATTGTTATTTTTTGCCTGTTTTGGAAAAAATAAAAATCCTTACTTTTTGCTGATACATCTGGTACTCTGAGGTCTTAAAAACAGCTCAATTGATTACTTTTGATTTAAAAACTTCTCAGAAGGAAATTGCATAACAAGGCTGGGACCTCAAATATGTGAGTTTTGGCAAAGAGCTGCGGAAGAAAGGCCTGGCTGTAGCAACCTCACAAGAAAAGAACTTGACATTTTGAAAAATTTTTATTGACCGGTGTAGACAGGGAACGGGAAGTCAAATCACTCTCACAGGCAAGCTGCAGTCTCTTCCTTGCTGACCTTTAAATGCCACTTAGTGTCATCAGAAAATCAAGGAAATGCTAATAGCAGGGCTTTGGGTAAGAGAGTTATAGATGAGAGATATCTTTTGAAAACAAACATAAGATGTCTTCCATTTTTATACACATCTATTTTTGTAAAATTAAGTTGTCACAGGAGTACAATTATATTTTCAACAGCTTAATCTTACATTATTTTATTAATACTAACATTACAATTTTCAGAAGTATCCATAAGCTATTGGAGCTTCTGTTCATTCTTGAAAAGGGAGTAGTAGTTTGCAAATTACATTTTATAATTGCATTCTAGGTTGATAACTGTGGAACACAGACTGGCCTCTGCTTTTGGTTCTTTATCTTATGTTCAGCAGGCTATGGACTTTGGTAGTCCTGTAGAAAGTTGACTTCTCAGTGTCTTTTGAAAATGGGACTGGTATGCCTCAGTCACCAGGTTACTCCAAGCCTTCATACTTCCATGTTTTTAACCACCCCTGCCACTAGAAGAACTAGTAGGAAATAAATCCTAAAATTAAACTCCTTAACCCTAAAGAAAGCATCTTTTACATTAGAAAAAAGAAGGTTCCTTAGATTTCAGAAGTCTAATGAGAGGGGAGAAAACTAACTGGCTAGTATAACATGAAATAATGGGTCCATGAAACCTGATGGCACCATATGTAGGTACTGCCACTGTTTCTTGCCTCCTTCCAACATCTACTTCATGAAATTGAAAGGGACTTTAGTCCATGGTTGTGGTTCAGTACATGTTCAAGACCCTTGCTCGACTAGAATCTAACTTCACTGCTGACCTGTGCTGGTGTATCTGTGTTCATGCTGGGTTTGGTTTAGCTTAATTCAGGGCAGGGGGGGGAAGTATTTCTTTTTTCTTACTAGTTGTCATTAGTTAATTGTTTGAACTGCTAGCACAGTGCTGTAACACTAGTGGTCTACCAAAACCACTGATTTTACAAGTTCAAAACCACTGATTTTACAAGTTGGGAGACGTTTTTAAAAGCTCTTTATATAATTCATTGTCATGAATTCCCTTTTTCTAAATTATTTTTTTCCCCTTTTTTTCCTTTTTTTTTTTTCAATGCAGTTACAAAACACATGGATTGTAGGAACTGATTTTGATTCTAAGCAGAGCATTCATGCTAACCTGTTTGTCTAATGAAATACGATAAGGGCTGACTTTTTTAGCCAGCTACATTGGCTGCAATACTTGAGCTTGGCCTTCCTCTCACTTACACTGCTGTAATTTGAGTAATTCCACTGAAATCAATCCATTGATAACAAATTAAAACAACAAGAAATGAGAGATGGTTTGGGTAAGTAGCGCATACATACCAGATCCCTGCAAGTTTGCTTAATTAATGTTGTATGCTCTTAATAGTTGCCTTGCTAACCTGCCTGAAAACCAAACCTCCAAAATCCAGTGATTTGGAAAGAAGGTGCAGTGCATCTAACACAACATAAAATATAAAAGTTGGGTAAAGCATTGTCTTGCTAGATTAGGTTTACAACAAAAGACGGGTCATGCCAAAAACACTTGTCAGTGGTTTGTGTCCAACGTGATTTTTTTGCTCTTAAAGGTACTGAAAAGGACTACACACATGGGACAGCTTGAAGGTCTACCTTCAGTTAGACAAAGCCCTCATTGCTGAATGATGGGGCTTTCAAAATTTATTTGAAGTTGTCCTCATTCCATTTCTCTGGAAGCTGTAGCAAGTTTTTATTTTAGAGGAAGAGTCTTAACATGAGCATTCTTGAAATGCTCACTCAGTAAATAATGGGCTTAATATACAGGTTAGACTTGGAAAAGAAAATTTACATGATTTTCCAAGGTTTTTCTTTTTCCTTTCATTAAAGTCTTTTTATTATAAACTATTTATAGTGTCGTGTAAGTATAACATTTTTTTTTTCTCTGTATCTCCTGTTAGGAAATCCAAGCTTTATTAAAAAAATGCTTTCAAACGTTTAGTTGTTGATCACTGTTTTCCTTCACGGTGATCTGTTCCCTGAAAAAGGATTCTTACAGCTCTTCAGCCACAAGACCTTGAGGTAGAATTGAATGGGATATTAATTTAAAACTGGATACATCCTATCTTCTCGCTGGTACCCTGTGTTTGTAATGCTGGGAGGGAAGTTTTAGGGGGTTTTTTAGTTATTTTTGTACATCTTTAAATCTCAACAAAATTTCTCAACCTTTTTATCCAGCACGAAAAATCAAAGAATTAAGAGATTCAGAAAAGCACACATGTAGAATACCCTTCAAAATTATTTTGTTCAGTTGTAAGTGTGTGAAAAGAGACTGCTCTGTATTTCACCCTGTGAACCCTGTAATTACTTTAGAGGTAAACAAACTTTATTTGATAGAACCAGGTAGAATATGCACTGAGAATGACTTAAATTTTGTAGGCTACAGATGAGATGATTATTTTTTTCCACTGCTCAAGATATAGGGCCAAGAAAAGACTATGTTTCTCTATAAGATTAGACCTAATCTTTTCAGCCCCACCTTCCACTTCAAGCTTTTGTCTTCATTTGCTAGAAAGGTGAAGAAGCTACTGAAACTATTCAGTTCAGAGATGAAAAAGAAATGGTAAATACTGCTTTAAACCTTCTGTAAAATTCTAGTCAATCAGAGAAGACCGGTAACATGCGCTCTTTGTGCTAATTATTCCAAGGTGAAGTCTGCTGTGCAGTGCTGGTTACCACATGCATGGTAAATACAGGATAAAACACAAATCAGTTTGCTATCTGCATTTAGCATTTTCAGTTGCTTTCAGAGGTATCTATAGAACATCGAACTTTACTAGGCGATCATGAGGCTGTATTGCATACATCCTTTTGTATTACTATATTTTTTAGCTATTTATGCTTCATTAGTGTTTGCTCAACAATTCTAAAATTAAATGAGTTGTCTTTTTGAGCTTGCTGCCCCATGTTTTTAATTTTTATCTAAGATTGTGCTTATGGAAAGGAATTACCATGCCATGTCACGAGTCAGATTCACTGCAAGTTACACTCCTGTGGAAATCCAGATATCCACCACAACAATGAGGCATATAATTGAGACAAAGCATTTTCCAGCACTTTCCAGATTGGAGAACTTAAGTTAAAAGAACTACTTCTTTTATTTGGAAAGTGATGAGATTTGTGGTGACCTGACCTTTAGTTGCCCGCCAGTATGTATTCTGTGGTTTTGGACAAAATTCCGCCCAAGAGCTTTATGTCCTCAATGGGTGAGTTTTGCAAGTGCAGTAGCATGTTCTGTTGTGATAAGAACAGCATTATCCACCACAGTCATGAGCCTGAGCTTCCAGAATAGGTATCCTGCTCCAGCTCATGGTTGATTGGTATCGGTGGTGATTTCACAGCAGCCATTTCTGAGAAGAAATGACCGTCTCATAACTTAATTAAAAAGCAAAATCTTCAATTTAAGATGGAAGCTGCTCTTTATTAAAAATAGCAAAAGTTGACTCACAGGTTTTGAGGGGAACATTTTTGCAAGATCTTTTTTAGCAGATTCAAAAAATTAATTATGTTGAATTTAAGTGTCAAACCAAATTAAAAACGCACATTTTCAAGCAGTCGTATTTCCTAGTCTTTCCTGCTTGTAGATTTACTACTATATAACTGCATATATTTCTGTTTCTCTATTAATATAAAAATACATTAAGGCCTTGATCTGAAATCAGGCCTTTTCCCATGTTTTTAATGAGAACTAAAGTAACTTTTGACATTAAGGAATTACTGAAAGAGTCTTTGCTTCTCCTTACATCTGGGCCTGTTAAAATTGGGTGGTGCCTGTCAGTGGGACTTCTTTTGACCAGGTTAAGTAGTTGTTTTCAGTAGATTGTAAATTATTATGGTTGGTTGTGCATACAAATTGGAAATAGTTTGATGGTAGCAGAGTTTCTTTTGCATAAATCTGCAGAGAAGACTCAGGTAAATCAGGCAAATTGATAATGAAACAGACAAGCCTGGGACACAGACAGCATGTGTTCTCTTTTAAGACTAGATCTTGCTTTCAGAAATGTATATTGCTTGTAAATTAAATACAACTGCAAATGCTTTTGGATAACTGTAATTATGTGTCTTGATGAAGCTTCTGTTTTAAATAGCAAGCAGCAGTAGTATTCCCATCAATACTACTGTTAAACTGCAGTAGATGCTCATCATGCCTCCTGACTTACTAATACTGTCTGTAAGATTTGTTCCAGTTGACCTTTAGAAGTTTCCAAAAGTTACAGTTTGCAATTCAGCAAGTTTGGCAGAGAAACACACGTGATTATTCATATCATTGTTTTAACGGTAACCAGATGTGTCTTGTTTTTCTTCTTTCTTTTCCATTGTTTTTAAAAAGTGATGTTAATCCAAGATGTTAATCCATTTACAGGGTTTTTCCACAGCACCAAATTCCCCTTCGGTGAATTCTCGTTCCAGTAGCCTGGGTCCATCACTGTCCCTTGGTAACATCTCAGGAATGACAGCAAACCCAGAAGTGAAAAAGCGCAGAGCACCTCCTCCACCAGTTGTGACACCTGCATTGCAGAACATGGTGATGAGTGGACAAGAAAAGAGAGCAGCACAGGTAACAGTGACACCACAGAGTGGTGCTTGATATGTTAGCTATCATAATTTCATTTATTCAAGTCATTATTCAAGTCATTCACAGATATTTTGGCTAGCCATTAACTGCAGCTCGCCAAAACTCTTAATCTTACAAAATAAAATTATCAAAAGTCTTGGAGTTTTTTACATATTTACTGAGCTTTCTTGAGACTGCCCCAAGCTTTTTCCCAAGATTCCCAAGAATCTTTCTAAATCAGGAAAGTTTTGTGAGGCATTATACTAAAAGAAGGAGGGTGAAGAAAAAAAGGCAGAAAAGCTGGAAATTGTATATCCTTATTGGCCAGGGCAGTCCTGGAAAATGAGTGACAGTTCTAATGACTGACAAAAATCTTCAGCGTGCTGTTTTGCCCAGATACTTATCAGGCTGTCACCCACATCCCTATCTCCAGTGCTGCCGTGGGATACCAGAAGGTCTGCTCTGCTTTCTGAGTTGTGCCATGTGACATTTTAAAGCAGTGCTCTGGTTTTGCTTTTAAGAAAGGTCACTGTTCCGCGTAGTACAGTTATTGAGAATTAAACAGAAATGGGGGGAAACCTTTCTGAGGACCTAACCCTTTGAAAAGAATAGAGTTTAGGGAAAAGGAAATTGTTCTTGTTTTCATAGTGACATTCAGGCATGTATGTTACTAAATACGCACAAGCACATTAAGACTTCTGATTCCACCATCAACAAAAAATGTTACATCCTTCTGTGTGGAAGAGAATGATCTGGGGGTTCTAACTGACAAGCAGCTGAACATGAGCCAGCAGTGTGTCCAGGTGGCCAAGAAAGCCAATGGCATCCTGGCTTGTATTAGAAATAGTGTGACCAGCAGAAGTCGGGAGGTGACAGTCCCCGTGCTCTGCACTGGTGAGGCCACACCTGGAGTGCTGTGTCCAGTTTTGGGCACCTAAATGTGAGAGGGATATCGAGGTGCTGGAGTGAGTGCAGAGGAGGGAAACGAAGCTGGTGAAGGGCCTGGAGAACAAATCCTATGAGGAGAGATTGAGGGAGCTGGGATTGTTCAGTTTGAGGAGGAGAAGGCTGAGGGGAGACCTCATCACTCTACAACTACCTGAAAGGACATTGTAGAGAGGTTGGTGCTGGTCTCTTCTCACAGGTGATTAGTGACAGAACAAGGGGGAACAGCTTTAAATTGCAACAGGGGAGGTTTAGACTGGACATTAGGAAAAAATTTTTCACAGAAAGAGTGGTCAGACAGTGGAATAGGCTGCCCAGGGAGGTGGTGGAGTCACCACCCCTGGATGTGTTTAAGGGTCATGTAGGTGAGATGTTGGGGGATATGGTGTAGGGGAGAACTTTGTGGAGTAGGGCTGATGGTGGGACTCGATGATCCCAAGGGTCACCTGAATGATTCTGTGATTCTAAATGTAAACTGTAAAAGCCAGTGTGTAGAGCTTTATATTGGTGCCAAAGGAGAATGCAGGGAACAGATACTGTCAAAGTTGTGTATTGTGGATTGACTCTATCTGCTTAGGGTTTGTCACCTCTACAGCAGACTGTTCTTGGGAAGGAGAACTGTATTAGCACAAAACGAAGTCAGGAAGGAATCTATGAGTTCAGTGTAGTGGAGGAGGAGTCTAGTGCTCAATCTCACTCCCTGTCACTCTTGTTTATCTGTGTTGATATACGTTAAATGCCTTTTCCAGTGAGGCATTGTGTAAGCAAAATTGATGCATGCTTTTGGTAAAGACGTATGGAATCTTATTTTCCCATTCTTAGGATATCTAAAAGTGTGATTGCTGGAACATAAGGGTGTTCCATCTTTCAAAATTGGAATAAGTACCTTTGAAATGGCTCTCATTTATAGATACAGCTGAAGAGAAACGTTTTCTTGCAATATTTGGTGCACTTTATTTTTAAAAATTTCCTTTTGAAATTTGTACTGTAAATATTTTGATATGGTTTCTTGTGTCCCCCAGAGTTAAACATTTAATGTGTTTAAGATAAATAGATCTTTTTGTACAAAAATACTATGGCATTATAATTCTTAAGTTTATACAAGTGTGGTAATCACAGACTGTATTACTCTTAGGCTTATCTCACTGCAGTGTGGCACTGAGATTTTAATTTGCGTTGCACAGAAACACTGAAAATCTAAACTCTATTTAAACATGTTAACATTTCTATTTTCAGCCTTGTTGAAAATAGATTAAAGTGCTGGCTTTCTGAAGCCATTGGGAGAAAAGTATTTCTTTTATTTATTGCAAGTAGCATACAGTACAGTGTCAACTTCACATTCTCTTAGCCTAAAGAAAAAGCTATTTTGAAGAAGGGAAACAGATTAAGTTCACATCAGAGGATTTTCCACGACGAAGATAATTTTGAGCAATAGACATGTGTAGCTGTCAAAGCCAATGAAGAGCACGGTAGAATTATGGGCACAGTTGCCAGAGTCTGTTTGGCTGCATTTGACGGGTAAAGGACATCTTTCTGAAAATGACTGTATAGGGAAAAATATTTAACAGTTATGGTGTGCTTCTGAAGCTCCCAGGCTGAAAGGTGCTCACAGGCTGCCCTGTAGTTTGAACAAGAATGTGTGAAGTACAGTTGAAGTGAAGCACAAGATCCATAAAGCAGTCAAAAACTGAGGGAAGAGATTAATTATTCAGTACTATGTTGCAAGGTAGCAACAGAGATACTGTTTATAAGACACCTCAAACAGTTCTATTTTATCTATGTGCAGACTATCCAGTTTTCTGTGAAAAGAGTAAAAAATCTCAGGGTGTAAGTTTATTTCTTTAGTTTATGGGAAAGAATTAGCAGTGATCTTTTTTTTTTTCAGGGAAGGACGTCAATTCCTTATTAATGGACTTCCTTCCATAAAAAGATAAGATGTTTGTTTAGAAAACTTTATTTATGTGCAACTGTTACTAACAGGAAAATCCTGCAAAAGGGGAACATGTTTATTTCCAGTGAAGCTAGCACATTAATGGAAAATGAAAAAGGTGGTATTCTGAACTTTCAGAAGGTTTTTTTTTTTTAACTATTAGGTTGCATAAAGTTGTGTAGAAAAGCAAATACTGTAGCTGTTATGAATAGCTGTAATTTGACTTTGCAACCTAATAAACCCATTATTTTTAACCCGTTGTTAAGCTCCAGGGCATTACGTTTTCATTACAGCATGGATGATTCTTTAGGAATGTGTATCTCATCTCCCTGCCTAGTGGTTGCAATCAGAAATTTCCCTGTGTATAAAGACTGGGGTGTTCTAATTTATGCTTTAGATTTACATTTTCTCCACTTGTTTTTCTGGATAGGTGGATTACTGCAATATAATTTCACCATATTGCAGCTTTTGTTTCTGTGGAGCTTAAAGTAATTTACCTCTTCAAGGGTAAGGCCCCTGCAGTAACTTTAATTATTTTTACTGCAGCATCATTAGTTTTCCATGTCTATTTAAAGGTAGCGTTCCCTCTGTAACTGTTTTAAATCTTCTCTAGAAAATATTAGTTTGTGTTCAGAGCACAATTGAGCAATGTTTCAGTGTGCTGAACATGCACTAAGTAGTTTGCAAAGGAATGCAGAGTCAATGAAAGGAGTCTACAGATTTTTTCCCTAGAGACATTCTCCCCTTTTTTTTAAACATCTTCCAAGTGATGCTGTTTAGAATAATGAAATGTCACTTAAAAAAATATTCTGCAAACAGCCAGGGTATGGTAACATTTCCAGTATGAAATCCAGAAGGTTGGATGCTTTAGAAGTAAAGGAGGTCCCTTCCTTTCTTAAGTTGCAACATGGAGCCCACATCATTCACAGAGGAGAGCAGAACAGTATAGGGAACGAGCAAAAAACTGAACCCCCCCCCTTTGCAAAGAATCTCTATTGTTTGTCACAGCACTTTAGATGATGTGCCAGCAGAATTTGGGGCCACTTTACAGTAGACATAGTGTAAATGAAGTTCTTACCCCAAAAAGCACTCACCACATAGACAAAATATATGAGAAAGCCTGCATGAGTGCCACTCTAGGTAGAGCACACACAGAAGAGCCACACATCAAGTCTGACAGAAATAAACGCATCTCCTCAGAGGCATATTCAGTGACCTCTCTTTATAAGAAAAAGAAGTGTGCTTGGGTTATTTCTTGGAAGAACTGTCGAATTGAGTATTTGAGTCTTTTGGAGGTGAAGAGTATTGTGCACTGGCAAATTAGTTTGCGGGAATAATTACTTTTTTTTTTTTTTTTTTACATGTATGGGGAAATAACGAAATTGGAGTGAGTGGGGATGATAAAGAAGGACTCAGGGACTTCCTGTAAGAGCCTTTTCTATGAAATGGAGTGGTTTATTCAGAATAAAATCATGAGGCTTTTTGGAGACAACATCAGAATTAAAAGAGGGCTTTTCAGTTCCTTCATCTGTATAATAGCTCTGATGTCAACTCCAGAAGGCAGAAATGCAACTTGTAGACTGTGATAAAGGAGCCATGTGCTCTTTCAGCTGCTGCAATTTTCAGAACAGAAACACTTTCATATAACATGTAGATGTAACAGGAGGCATTCGGGATTTGTTACTAGCCAGTCAAATTCCTGTACTAATAGAAGAATTGGGCATTATAACAGATAACAATATTCTAGCAGTTGTTCCATAGATTTTAGTGTAAGCTGTCATATGGCAAGACAGTGGGTTTAAATAAAAGTTGTGTTGTTGCTTTTAGTGCAGGTGAGGAACTGGCCTCATACTTTGAGAAGGTTCAATTATAAACCAACATGATTTTCACGTTTATTTCCATGTTTATATAGTTTCCTGGAGGGTGCTGTAGACAAAGTAATGTATATGACATACTGTGGGTTTTGCCCTGCCTCTTACAATTCCTCTTCTCTCCATTTAGATCTCAAACTTGGGTTGCTGAGGACAGTTGTTTAACTCCCCATTCTTGTTCAAAGCCATACCATTCAGAGCAGACTACTTGCCCCCAGTATTTTATCAAGGCTGGTGTTTTCTCACCAGGAAAACCT